CATTCCCATGCAATTAACAGCGAGTGAAATTCCTGGGATTGAAACATATATTTTGAAGTCTCTGATGTAGGCAACGAATAACTGCAAGTTGACATAAAGACGAGGTAGTTTATTTAATCAGTGGTCAACTAGAGGCTGAAATTATAATTAATTTGTTTATTTCAATTTCTCCTGAAGTCAAATAGAATACACTGGTGAAACACGGTAGTAACTGGGTGAAAGGATGTTTTGGGGTGTAGTTTACATTGTAATATGGAGTGGTAGGGTCGGGTGTAATGTGTTTATTTCCAACTATTATGAAGTCACGTAGAATTTTACTTAATTTATTTTTGCTGACATGTTTTCAAGCATTACATGTGAATCCAATTTTCACTGCGCTGTGTCTCAATAGAGTATGAGGGAAATGGCATATTCACTGGAATTTATTTCAGGGGAAAAATGTTTTCAGTGATAATGAAGTATTATGACAGATACCCTCCCTGTGGCTTTCATTGCGTATGGAAGTTATTTTCACGAGTGATGCGGTGTATCCTGCTGCCGTTCTTTCACGAGCGAAGCCACGGGGAGGGTGTGGGGTTCTGTTATTATACATATGTCCCATATTTGATTATTTCATATTAAAAAAAGAACGTGCAACAAACCGGGATAGAACAGTGGACAAGACAGTGCTGCGACCTAGCAACGCTTGTCAGTGTAGAACGCGTGTCGATGTACGTGTGAAGATAAAATAATCAGACGTCTAATTTGAGTCATTGTCCGAATAAATAACTCGTGGATGTTTAAGCGCGGTGGTCGTAGCGCAGCGCGTGTTCGAATTTCATGTAAATAAAGAATGTATTTTACACGCGTTGTATGCGTCGCTATGAGTCCCAAATCGAACAGGACGCGACACGACGACTGTCGCCCTTTAGTTGGGACCACGACAGAACCAGAACTTAAACTGGGCGACTACGATACACGGTTGATGTTGAAGTTAAAAGTTCCTCCACAGATCTGTGCCTTGGCAAACATGCCGTGCAACTGCGGTACTCCACTGACGGAATGACTTTCGTTGAAATCGGTCGTCGCTGACTCGTGAGCTGCACACTACAACCTCGTTTGTGATGTTGCTTGCTGGTCGTGGATAGACTGAGTCTTGGTTACCGGTTAATTTTTGCTAATTTGGCGTTGGTAATCTTTATTTGGAACTGAGTAACGCCGCAACGTCGCCAGCAGAAACCTCATGGTATATCGATGTTGATGGTTGCGGCTCCATATTAATCGGAGATTTTACTGCGGGTCCAGGCAGCGGGTTTATAAAACTCAGTTTCCAGGTGGTCAACAAACATTAAGTTCTCCCAATCCTAGTATTCTATGTGATGTACATCTAACATGCCAAAAATGCTGGTGAACGATTTAAACCTGACAAA